TATTCAAATACAAATAAAGATTAATAGGGAAGTTGTGCTATCTGGGTGGATTTTTTTGTTTTGTTTTGTTCTTTTAAGCTCACTGGATATTCAAATACAAATAAAGATTAATAGAGAAGTTGTGCTATCTGGGTGGGTTTTTTGTTTTGTTCTTTTAAGCTCACTGTCTAACAGCTGCATTTTAAAATTATGTTAATCTTTGTGCTGTATTGATATGTGTATATAAACTTCTAGCTAGCCAGAAGTGTCATATTGAACATAGTTGCTTACAAACCACCATCTTTTATGATTATATCCATGCATGGAATTAAATCAAAAAGTTTAGTTTTTCTGATTTAATGCACTAATAATTTTAAAGATTTAAGAGAGAGTGGTCTTAAAATTTTAAGAATTTAATTTAGACTTCTATTGAATTGTTACATGGCAATGAGTATAAAACAGATCTAGATGCATGATGGATGGCTGAAAAGTTTTTTTTTTTCCCCCCCATTTCATGCACTTCATATTGTTCTTTTTTTTAAGGAATTATACTTTTTTCCGAATGTGTTATTTGAGTCATGCTAGTTTAAACAATCCCGGTTTTATGTGGATTAGAGCAAACTCGGGAGGCCTGGGTTATAATCGTGATTTTGCCACTGATCTGTTGTGTGACCTCCTCTAAGTCACAGTCTGATTGAGCCATTAACCCCTCCAAGCCTCTGCTGCTTTTCTTGTCAAGGGCGAGTTATAGCCAAGCTTCGAGGGTTACGTTTCACCCAGTGCTTGTGGAAAACTTGGTACTAGTACAAATTCTAACCTGAAGTTACAAGAATATTGTTCTTACAGAACCCTAGCAATGAAAATGAGACAAAATGTATTCTACACGAAATACTGCTCTGTTTAGTTGATCTGTTGCTTGTGTATATGCATATTTTATGGAAGGGAACTGCTCAGAAACAGCTTTATCTTCAGCATTTCATGGTTACCCACCACAACAGCTTCCCATCTGCGTGTGCACTTTTGATTCAGATGAATCCCGAGATTTTGAAATTTCTGCCCATTTCCATTTAGATCGGTGGCCTCCCTTTTACAACTTAGTGCACTCACCAATACTTAGAGCCTGTAATAGACTCTAGAGGTGTGTAACCAATTCTCTACTTAATGGACGAGGGTTACCAAAAGCCTTGTTGAGGGTCATAGAATGAATTGTTTAGGAGGATTTTGATCTCTGCACTCTTAGAACTACATTTAATCCATATTGCTACCAACTGCTAAAACTATTTTTTTGAATTCAAAGCAAGGTTAAAATAGAATTTCTGTTAGTTCCCTTTCAGGCTTCTGCATAGCTCTGAAATGTACCTGCAAGCAAACTGGTTATATAGTGGAAAAAAAAGCCCTTTTTTTTTTTTTTTTCCCCAAGCAATTTGCTGTGGCACTGAGCACTTTCTCATCATGTAAATTCCTTTGCCTTCACTTTTCCATGCCAAAATTATTTAGTTATCCTAATTAGAGACTGACCCTAATTAGATCCTGATCCTAATTAGACATTTATTGCCAACCAAGTTTTCTTGGTTGGCAGCAAGACTGCATTTGACCATGACAGCTTTTTTCTTTTGCCTTTCTTTTTTTTTTCTCCGTAGAAAATAAGTTTTTGTCTTCAAGACACAGGCATAAGGAGGAAGACCTTTTTTTTTTTTTTAAAGTGAAAGTCAATATTACTTTTTGTACATATCTTTTTTTTTAAATCTGTTTAGCTTTGTATAATTTGGTAGCCATAAACACCCTGTGATAGTTTTAAATAAAATTCAAGGTAATTAGAGAATGTCCTTCTATAATATATGCCATTCTGTGAGCCTCTTACCTACTTTTTAAAGTTTTATAGTGATTTAAGACCAGCGAATGATTGCGTGGAGTTACCAGTTGCTCAGCTGAATCCGTTGCAGCAGATTTGTTTTATACATGTGCAGTAGATGGTGGAGAAGAACAAACTCCTTGGAGGCCAGACTTTACTTTTTATATGTGTGTGACTGTATGTTAGGCAACATTTTTTTGTCTGTTGCAGAAAATGTTACAAGGCAGAAGCTTTTAGAGTGAGCTTGGACCTTCCTATCTCAATTTAGAAATAGGCACTAGGATGCAAAGCTGAGGTTAAAGGAAGCAGTGTGCAGTAAACACAAAGTAGGTGCAAGGATTGACATCAAAGACTACAATGGGATAAACTTCAATAGTCCATTTGCTGTGAAGGAAACCATCACCAAAGCAGTAGTGAACTGTGGGCTTTTAAATCAAAATGTGCCTGGCATCCTAACCCCTTGTGTGTGTAGTTTCGTTGATCAAACTCCTGGAGACAGAGTGAAACCCCTGTACTGGATCTTATGTTCTTTTAATCTCTTAAACAGACTAAAGTAAATGACTGAAGAGCTTGGTTTTCTTTATATAGATATATTTATTTATGACCTTGTAAATATGGTCTGTATCAAGGACTGAGAGCATTTCTGATCTCTTGTAGGCTAATTATGAATCGTAAGATGTAATTCATCCTCTTTTTTTATTGGAGATGGTATAAGACTCAGCAAGTTTCACATGTTTTAGAAAACACTGAGAGCCAGATGGGGAAAATACAGTTTACAAAAGTACTTCTTTTCCAGGTGTCAGCTGCTCGGATGATGATGAAAAGCCCCGCAAAAGACGGCGAACTAATTCTTCTAGTTCCTCCCCTGTTCTCCTGAAGGATGTCCCGAAGGCGGTGACTCCTGTCACCAAAACTATCACCGTGCCTGTAAGTGGCAGCCCGAAGATGAGTAATATAATGCAGAGCATTGCCAACTCCTTACCACCACACATGTCGCCTGTGAAAATAACCTTCACTAAGCCCTCAACACAGACAACAAACACAACAACGCAGAAGGTATGTGAGGGAAGCTGCCAAATGTTTCTTTATTTGTGTTTTTTATCAATGAGTAAGATGTGATGTTTGACTCGATCTTTCTATGAAGTGTCTAGCTGTGTTTTAAGGATTACTCTTTAATCCCTCTTTAAAACAAACAAAGAGCAAACCGAAGTCTTGTATGAATTGAGTTCACCTGTGTGTGAAAGGACCTGGATTGACAGCCGTGGAGACTGAAGCCCTCTTTTTATCCACAGAACAGGTACAGCACAGGCAGCGGGAGTGCAAGCTTCCCCCAGACTGCCCCAGCAATGTGCCTCAACCCTGACCTGAAGGGACCACTTCTAGGGATGAGAGGGGATTCAGTCTCCATGCTCATTCAATTCTTGGCCTCTCTGGTGAGACTGCCAACAAGGTTGCCAGTTAGTACCATTTGTGGTGTTGGGTTTTGTGATATGGACACTAGTCCACTGAGAACTGGATCACATAGGCCTCTGAACAGCCTTCAGATGGTAACAACTATTGGTCAAAGGTAATCTTTCTTATTTCTATTTTCCTTATTTATAATTATTCTTTGCAGTAATAGAATTCCAAGTGAGTCTGGCATGGGCTTACCCATGCTGTCTCCTTTTGTCTAGAGACTACTTTTTGCATCTATAAAGTTTATTCCTGGAGGTGATCAAAAAAATGATGTGGGGCTTTATTTACCTTTCAGTTCTGATGTGCCATTTTTCATTGTGCATTAACAGTATTATGGTGGCCAAAATAAACCATGTCACTTCAGATGAGTGTGCCCAAGTTTCCCCAGTATACAATGTGCAGAAAAAGCTTTCAATACAGATTTTTCATAATAACTCAGATTTTCTGTGGAGGGATCTATGGCATGATTATACTCCCAGGTTTTAGGAAGCATTTTGGATTTATCTGCCTTTTTTTGTCCTTAAGATTTAAAAACGATGACTGCCTCAGGTCAGGTTCATTCTTGGGGCAGGTTCTGATTATCAAAGTCTCGTGGAAAAATGAACTGGCCTTGATAATGACAGACTTATTGTAGGTCAGCCACTAACAAGTATTTATCCCAACCTTGAGAGTCTGATTCTTTAGCCTTAATACAGTATTTATGGTATTGGTACTGTTAATTGTTTTCTGATTACTTTGGGTTAGCAGAGTTGCCAGGTCCTGATTTTTGGAAACTCAAAAGAGAAGGAAGATTCAACTAAAGTAATGTGCAGTAAAGAGCTTGCTTTTTGGGCTTCTTCCCCCCTGCAGACCTCTTTAATGATGTTTCTATTTTATTCAGTGTTCTTGAACAATGTCCTCAATCAAATTCCATCTTAGAAGGCATATATAGGAGTGCGTGAGTGAGCATAAACCCATCAAGTAGCACATCTTGCATTCAATGCAGAAAAAAAAGCTAGGATAGAGTTTAACCTATGCAACTTGTTGCACTTAATAAACTCACTTTTTGTAGAGGGGAAAATCAACTTTGTATTAAATGTGAGACTGCTGTAATAAGCATGTGCTATAGCATGCTAGTTAAAGGTGGGATGTACTAAACATGCAAAAGGGAAGAAAAAATGCAAAAGGAAAGATATGGACTGTTGATAGGATCTTTTCTGCCCTTGTGCTTCTGATTATTTTGACATGAAAATTTTAAATTTTGCTTTGCATAGTGTTATTTGAGTCTCTTGCTAATCTGTAATGATAGGAAAATCATAATGGACTATTCTGGCAGCCGTAGTAATGCTTGTATCTGAACTTGTCATGCTACCCTATTAAATTGGATTTAGGTATGCTAAGATACGTAATTGGATTATTTTGGGAGAAATCCCTCTTAGTAATTTTAAAATAAATGACAGACTTGTTATATTCAAGTTGGAAATGTACTATTTTTAAACAACAAGTGCAGCTGGATGTAGAAGGGGTTCTTGGGTGTGAATGCTGTTCTTGGTTTCTGCACACCAGCTGTCAGAAGTGATTTGACATTTCGGTAGGTTGGAGCAAGATTTGTAGCAACAACTAATAATGTCACAGCTCCAATTTCTGATTTCCCCTATAATTGTTTTCCATCCAGGGCAGAGAAGGAATTCAGCTAGTGAAACCTCTGGCAGTTTTGCCTTTATTTCTTCAGGGAGTAGGTTTTGATGGCGCTCAAAATAGAGCTGACAAGACTAATTTTGTTACGGGAATTAGTTTTTACCTTAGTATTTGAAATAAACAGAAAAACACAGTAACTTGCTATTTGTCCTTGATCAGTCTTTCTGTCGTGGAAAGATGATGTTTTGGTACCCAGAACAGGATTACTTTGTTCATCTTGATAAATATGGGAAAACAGTACTTCAAAAATACAACTGTCATGACGTGAGCTTTAGAATTTGTAAATTTTTATCAGAAAGTTTGTCTTTCTGGATATTTCTTGCTTTAATATAACTATTTTTCTGTTCTCTTGCATTAATTTTGAAAGAAGAAATAACGAGACTCAAACCTGCTTAGTCCCGGGACAGCAATTGTTGTTGTTAAAAGCTTGCCTAGTAGTACACTTTTTCCTTGTATCATTAAATAAGATATTATTTATAATAACTATTTAATAATCTTGAAATGATAGGATCACCTCTCTTTTCTCATGAAAAACAGCAATGTTCAGGAATTGTGGCTGTAACCAGATTTATCCTGCTAACCTCTAGTCACTCATCTGAGACTTAACTTGCCCTGTTTCCCTGAAGATTATGCAGGAAGCATAGAATCCAATATTCTTGATTATCGAAAAAGGAGAAAAATATAGAAGGAAAGGAGGTAACGGAAGGGTGGAAAATGATGTCTAGTGGCAACTGACTAATTAAAAAAGCTCAATAAACTTGAGGCTCATCAAATGATATTTTCAATTGATTTTGTTTCAACCAGAATCAAGTGTAATAGCTTGATTGCTGCTACAGCTTGTCTGCTTGGTCTCAGCCTAAAAGCAGTTTCAGAAAAGTGTTTCGGCCGGCTAAGTCAAGATTAAGTTTGAGGAAAAATCAAGAGTGAGACAGAAAACATTTCTTGGAGAATGTGACAAGATTTTTGTTTTTTGACAAGACAAGGTTTTTGCTTTTCCTCAGATGAAGATATTAACGGTGCACCTTGATATTGCAGGCCATAAGCAGAAGGAAAAGGAAAAGTACTACTAACTTAGTGGTGAAATTTGCTGCTTTTCTTCCTTCCATGTGATTATGTCCTATATTTAAGAAACAGATTCTTAAAAAAAAAAAATCTCTTACTGCTTGATCTACAATTTAAGTCTTTTTCTGGTTCCATCGTCATATTATTTCTTCAGGCAAGCTTTCAGTAGTCCTTGGGTAGTACTGTATGAGTTTTTCTTTGAATTAACAAGTTCTTTCCTCCTGAACCTTTATTCCATTGACTTTTATTATGTGAAATAGTGGGTTTTAAAATTTGAGATTTTAAATAATGCTCTTATTGGAGTAGCTGTGTTATTGAAGCAACTTGATAGGATTATTGTGTGATAAACGGAACATGCATTTTATTTCTCTGTTTATGGTTCTGTTTTAACTGTGTGTGTGTTTTTAAGTACAAGGAAGTGCATATGGAGACGGTATAAAATACAGCTCCTTACATAAGCAATCCCCATATTCAAAACTCAAGTGATTAGTTTTCTAGGTCAGTTGCATAAGAGCAGACCTCTTCCAAGAGTCTAATGAATTCCAGGTATTTCAATGTCAACTCAGATTCATGGGGCTGTAATTGTAGCTCTCCATAGGGGTAATGTTTATTGTCTTTAGGCAAATGGTTTTCAGGCAAATACAAAAGAAATTCTTGTTATTAGGAGCTGCAGTTAAAGAAAATAGAACTTGTTTCTGAACCTCAGGTTTTTCACTGGTGAAATATTGATTATTTTCAGCCCTATGGATCAAAGGTATTTCCCATTATGAATAGAGCAACTTCTTATACTAATTGTTAAGAAAAAACATCTCTTTATTCTCTCATTGCCATTTCTTGATGTGTGTGATGTGGGAGGATGGTGTTCAAAACTTCCCTGGAACCCCAGCAGTTCCATTTTAGGATGATTTTCAGGCTACTTGGCTCAGTTAAATGAACTCAAACAGTTCATACCTGTCTGTTGGCCTGCAAACATAAGAGATTTCTATTTTAATCAGATAGAAGTTGTTTTTCTCTGAATAAATATCTTCTAATTTTAAGGGGGAGTTTATTGCCATTTCTTCTTCAAACTAATGGAAACATTTTTCTGTTAGCAAATGCATTTGTGACACTCTTAAATGGCTTTGATGAACATCTAGCCCTAAAACTATTACGAAAATTTTATGCTTTCAAATGAATGCAAAGAACAAATGACTCTTTCCTTTTCCTTCTTTCAGGTGATAATAGTAACCACCTCTCCAAGCTCAACTTTTGTACCCAACATCCTTTCCAAGTCCCACAACTATGCAGCAGTTACGAAACTTGTCCCAACATCAGTCATTGCCTCAACAACTCAAAAGCAGCCAGTGGTTATAACTGCATCTCAGTCCTCTCTGGTCAGTAGCAGCAGCAGCAGCAGTAGCTGTTCCACTCCCTCCTGCACCGCAAATACTATTGCAGTAACTGCTGTGGTATCATCAACACCATCAGTAGTGATGTCAACAGTAGCACAAGGTATGGCAGTAATATGACATATGTAAAAACGTTTTTGCTGGTGATTTAGACATTTTGAGACTGATATGGAGGAGATATTATGCTTTATGTTTACCTGTGTGGAGTAGAGTACAGAAGATGTGCAGAAAAAATCTGCGGATGGAACTAATCGAAGGCACTCCACAAAAGTTTGTGCTGAAAATAGGTCTTTCCCTCAAGAACATGGATAGGCAAATGATATTTTTAAAAAGAGAAATTGGTGAAGTGTGGCATAATTTTAATTGGAGGAGATTTTGCTTGCAAGTGTTGAAACATTCTAGCTGTGAACTGACTGGCTTTTAAGAACTCTTGTATGAAAAAAAGAATGTTTCCAGTATCATTTGAAGGTAGTTGCTTCTCTTAATGCATGATTTACAAAAACATGTGGAATAAACATGTGAGATTAACACTAAATATAAACTACTTAGGCTTGACATGTTTGGTCTGTAGACTGCTTCCTGTGGTAACTAATTTTCATGACAAGTGGTTCCTGAAGTGCTTGCAGTTTTTTATCTGTTTATCACCACCTTGGTTTTCATGTCCTTATAAGTTAAGACCTGGGCAGACTAAGATAAGAATTCCTCAATTTCTGGGTTTGAATTCTGGCTATGTATGCACAGACAAATGCAGAGCCACTAGTTAGCCCTGTAAAGGGAGGCTGTGGATGAATGAAAGGGCCTCAGGCAATCAGCACTTGAAATGTGATATTTCTGCCAGTGGCAAGTGTCACATAATAGTGCTTCTGTATGAAAACAGCTGACCAACAGAATGGAGAAATCCTCTCAGGTTGCTTGTTCAGACTGAGAGATTTATGTCTTATCATCTTAGTTATTAGTGCTGTCTATAAGTGTAGAGGAAGAAAGAAATAAGAGAGCAGGGAGTGTTTTGTTGTGTTTTCCATATTCTACTCCACACAGGGCTTGGTTAAAAACTGCCTTCATAAGTACCCAAGAGTCAATGCCTTATGGATGTGCAATTTAAAGTGATAGATAAAGACAAATTATGCTGGAAATGTGACAGCTATGTGAAGGAATGGCAGAAATCAGTATTTACTCGAGAACTTTATTTTTCCCTCTTACAGGAAACTTGGTTTTAATCATGTTACTACTTTTTAAGATCGTTTAATCTATAAAGAAAAGATCATTGTAATCTGTAAAGAAAAGATCATTGAATCTATAAAGAATGCACACACATTCCTGGGTTTTCTAAAATGCATAGCATTATCTGATTTGTTCTTCTAAAATAGCATTGCATTCACCATTTGCATCTTTGAGTAGTAGGGATTATTTAATGCTGTACTGCATTTAAGGAATTTTAATTTTCTTTTGTTTTGCCCTGTTCAGTCTTAATCCATGCGCTTTTTCACAGGTGTATCTACATCAGCTATTAAGGTTGCCTCTACCAGACTACCTTCCCCAAAAGGTTTGGTTGGGAATCCAACTCAGATTTTAGCACAGTTTCCCAAACAGCATCAGCAGTCCCCGAAACAGCAGCTGCACCAAATACAACAGGCTCAGCAACAACAGCAGCAGCAGCAACAACAACAGCAGCAGCAACAGCAGCAACAACAGCAGCAGCAGCTGGCACAGTCTTCTGCAGCTCAACAGCAGCCACAACAATCTCAGTTGCCACCTGGCATCAAACCTACCATTCAGATCAAACAGGAATCAGGTAGATGGATTTAATTTGGGTGATACTGCTCACTGGTGAGGTCTAACTGCCAGTCAAGAAAGCAGGACTGAGTTCTGTGCCAAAATGTGCATGGGGAGCTATCATAAAGGCTTAATAACTAGAGTACAGGATTTGGCACTAAACTGGAAAATAGATAGTGAAGAATGACTTAACATGTTCAGGCAACAATAACCAAAGATTTTTGTTTTGTTTTTGTTTTTTTGGTGACTCTTCTTGTTTGGCGTAGGTATTAGACCATCTTTTAGAAGGAAATGTTTTATCTTTAAGAGATTGAAAGATGTATTGAAAGATGTATCTTCAAAAGTAACTTGGCTGACAACATGGAAGACAGTAGTTTTCTGGAGATCCAAGAGCTATTGAACTGTATCATCTTGGAAAAAAAAAAAAAAGTTAATCTGTGTTTTAGTTCGTTTCTTGGGTCCAGAAATTGAAACCTATCCTTGATAGCTTGTCACAACAAATACAGTTAGAAGTGAGACCAAAGTTGGACTGCGTTCTTTTTGTGATACAGTTCACGCAGTTGGCTTTGGGTGAGTCCTTTAATCTTTCTGCCTTGGCTTTCCTCTGGAAGAGACAAATTTTATCTCATGGAGAGGTGGTTTGAAGTAATACTTGTAAGGTTACTGAATTTTGAAGAAAGAAGTGCTATAAAAGTGCAAAGTATTTTTATGTCCTATTTCACATCAATGTGGTCAATAAAAGTTTTATTTTATTTATACTATTTAGGTCAAATAATTAAAATAGACCATAAAATGGGGGGGAAATCCTTAACCATCCCTTACTTTTGGAGTGGGACCATTACCAGGGAAAAAAATGTCCACTACTGAATGCAGAGGCCTCCATCCTTCAGTCACTGGACACTGTTTCATCTATAAGAACTTCACTGTTTGCCTTCTACTATGGCTTTAGGTTTTGCTTGCTTTTTAGTAAAACTTTTTTTAGAAATACCATCTGATACCTATTGCTTCTGAAAGGTACAGGTTTATTTTCACCAGGATTTTTCTTTTTATCCGTATTTGTCTCTGCATGATGCAAAGACAGGGTTTTTAACTCTCTAATAGACAGTTTATTAAGGCATTTGCTTTGAAACTTGCTCACTCTGCTACGTTTATAGACAACATAGAAGAAAACATCGCTGGAGGATGCTTCTTGAGAGGACAAAATTGGCCACCTAGAAATTCCTCTGTACAAACATAAATGTCTAAATTTAGGTGAGGAAAATTCAGGCTGGGGTTTCCCGAAAGGTGGCCAACACAATGTAGTACACTTAGTGAGGAACAGAATTTAAGTTCCAGATGGCCTGGATATCCTTTTGGACAGACTACATGAATCTTTTGATTTGCAGATGAAACGTGAGTCTTGGAGAAGTCCCATTCTGCTGCACAAACAGAGAAAGGGAGCAGCATCCTTGGCACGTTAAGGTGTTCTCCTTTGTTCTTGCTGCTTACCTAGAACTTACTTCAGTCCAATTCCTTCACAGCTTCAAAACAACCAGCAGGTTAAGTGGAGAGATTTCCTTAGAGCAGCCTTCCTTGGTCAATGTCCCACTTGCTTCCTTACTGCCAGTAATATGCAGCACAGGAAAAGCTTCTTATTTACTTGATGGAATGAAATTCAACTAGTCTAATTAAAACATACTAAAGTTTTCAGTCTAGAATTGATCAAGAACTATTTCACTTTGTGGTGCTTTATGTACTTGAACCAATTTGATATTGGTTGTAACCTGTTGGTTCCTGGGAAAAGTGTGCTATTTTGGAATTATGCACCAGAAGCGGTTAAAAATCACCACAATAAATTGGTGATGAAATGGAATCCCATGCATCAGTGGGAGCCACCAAGAACTGAAACAGGCACATGAAAGGCAAAAGTGATGGCTGTCTTGATGCTTGCAAAAAAAAAAAAAAA